AGTAGCAGAAACACGACGAGAAGCAAAATAAACACTTTTTGCTAAAATGATGCAGAAAACAAGAATGCAGCAAATACAATTATTTGTATCTGTCATAAAGATGATTCCGACCATTTAACTAAACCAGGTTTGTAACAAGTTAACGCGCGGCACCTTTTCACGTTTTTTTTTTTTTTTTTTTTTTCATACAGTTGGGATTATTAATCCGCATATTAAAAGCATTTCATAATAAACAATGTAATACTTTGGAAAAATATTTAGAGATGGCAAGGGAAGACAAAAAATACGTATTATTGAAATTGCTAGTTATTTCCAAGTTTTGTTTTGTGCTCATGATGAGAGTATTTATTATTAAATCATGTACGTTGTTTGTTTTTAGTAGTTTATTACTTTGATCAAAATATAAAAATGGTCCATTCTTTTCTTTAAAAGTAAACCCTGCTCCCCTAGTATGTTTTCTCAGTCCCAAGGCCTTCTATGTGCCATACATGCAAGTGTCTAAATGTAAAAAAAAACAAAAAACATCTTAGCTTACCTTTTTGTATTCATATCCAGTTGGGAGAAAAAATATATATATAAATATGTTTTTAACGTTACTACAGCTGCTCCGATTGGAAATGTATAACTGTCTCTGTATAATTGTCCAGACTTCCACTGGGAAGGAAATATAGAGACCGGACCTCTTGGAACTTTTATTGAATATTCCTGCTGTATATTTTATCTGCAAGAATAGCAAAATGGCCTAAATGTTTTCCACATAATAAGTGTAGTTTAGCTTTCCCTTGATTTAATATTTTATATATCCTGTTACAAGAGGAATATAGGACAAAATATATCCAGGTTTGTCAGCAGCCAATAACCATTATGTCATAACTCATGAGATCATGGTTCAAATTCAAGCCTGTACAGAGAAGCGGATATTTAATGTAATTGACAATAATTATATTATAATGATATAATATAATATAATTTATTTTAATATAATATATATTTGACATTTATTTTAATACCAAAAATTGCTGTTCTCTTGAACTTTCTAATTATCAAAAAATCCTGGAGAAAAATGGATTCCACAAAAACATTTAGCTGCACAACTGTTTTCAACTGTAATAATAATAATAAATGTTATACTAAAGCACCAAATTAGCATATTAGAATGATTTTTGAAGGTCTTTGACCTCTGCTGGAAATGTAGCTTTTCCATTAAAAGAATGTTACATTTTAAGATGCATAAAAATAGAAAACAGTATTTCACATATTTGTATTTTTGAACAAATAAATAGAGCTTTGGTGAGCATAATCCTGGGCTGAAACGTTTAAACGGCAGTGTATATGGACTCAACGCTAACAGACACTAACTAAAAAGCTACAAAACTAGTTTCATGGGGCCTCTGACTAACTAATAGTACTCTGGTCTGACGAACAACATGACATTGCTGTTGCTGTTCCTGATGCGTTTTTTTTATATATATTTTTTAACCCAACTCCATCAAAATACACAATTATTTTGGCACAGTAAAGCCTGTTTTGGCCCTAAAAATCCCTAAATCCCAGGTTTTGAGCTGTGCTGACTTCTAGTAGACTTTCAGGCACAAAGAAGATATTTCTCTCTCTACCTTTGGCTTTGGTTCATATAGCAAGAATTCAGCAAGTTAGGGGAGATTTACTCATATAGACCTCTGCATTCACCTTATCTCAGGTTTCCTGGGCAGCTCTCTTTCTCACTAAAAGAAACCATATCCTCCGTAGAGGACACTCTCAGGGGAGAATGGTCAAATAAGCCTATATCTCTGCATTGACTGAGGAGGGCACCGTAAGTATTTCAAATGTGACCCTTCTACTAATTTCATTTTATCTGTCTGTCCTTTTCTCAGATTATTGTGGCGTTCTGTTCTATGCACCTTTTGCATACTGTAATTGGCTGTGAATCAAAGACCTTAATCAATAAGAGAGCATGGCGAGTCATTTTCAATAAAGGCTTCCATTACTCCTCTGGGGCTGGCCGTCTGGAGCATTATCTTGCTGTGTTTCAAAACCTTGTGAGCTGCCTACCTAGACAGCATTTTTGAGACAGCACTTTCCATTCAGACCAAGTGGACTGTTTACCAAGACGTATTTGAAAGTTCAAGTCAAACGATACGAATCGAGTGAGTAGCCAACATAGTCAGCAGTTTTGGACATCATAATTACATACGAACCTAGTGAGCTGCCTTGTCAGCAATTTTTTGCATCATATAGACATTTTATTTAAATGATTTAAACCTTGTGAACTGCCTACCTAGTCAGCAATTTTAGGCATCATATAAGCACATTTGAATATTTGACTCAAACTAAATGAGCGCCCTATCTAGATGGCATTTTAGCAACCATACACGTTCAAACATTTGATTCAAATGAGTTCATTACCTAGACAGCATGTTTGGCTATTATAGTCATGTTTGAACAATCCATTTAAACAATTTGATTTGAGCATCATAGTTCAAGCCTTCCTTGAGAGTCTTTTTAGACATCGTAGACACATACAATCGATTCAAATGAATTTAACATGGGAAGCTGCCTACCTGTACAGCTACTTTTGGCAGTCATAGTCACATTTGAATGTTCTTTTTAAAAACTGAGCTGTCTCCATAGACGCATTTATATATTAGAATCAAATTGTACGGTGGCCGAGACAGCTCAACGCGCTGCAACTGAAGCAAACACATGCAAATAGAGAAAAACGCGTGCAAATAGAAAAAAACGCATGCAAATAGAAAAAAAAACACATGCAAATAGAAAAACACGCGTGCAAATAGAAAAAACACCAGCAAATTAAAAAAAACATCTTCATCAGTTTCACAACACACGTGTGCTCCAAATAAGGAAACGCGCTGCAAAAGTTCACAACACAACCAAATACAGAAAACAGCTGCAAATAACACAGACCACAACGGAAATGTTTCCAGGGGAACCAAATAAGTGACGAACCCGGCTGAGACGTGCTTATTGCTCGTGAGCTTCCCTATGCCATTCTCCCTTCGAAGGGCAGATTGCAGAGCCCTTTTGGAGTGAGCAAAGGTTCTAGTGTCCTGTTAGGCAGCCGTGTGGAGCGCACTTGATGAAGGGAGCAACTAAAGACAACGTGGGATGTTCACATGACAACGCAGCACGGTGTCCATCAGCTGGTCTTACGACAGAAATATGATGCTGTTAACATAACGGATGCAAATACATTTTTATTTTTAGTTTACAAAAAAAGCTTTTAAAATATGCGTTATATATCTGTGTCTCAACTTTAAAATTTTGGACCCTACATTACCTAACATTTCTTACGAAACTTTTCTTTATGAAAATGTAATAACATGAAACAATTTGTACAGTGTAACTGATGTAACTTATAGATAAATATCTTTCCTTCATGTTTTTCTTCTTTATCTTTTTTATTTATTTATTTTAGTTTCCAGCTCATTGTTCTTTTCTCATTTGTATTCTGATGACATTGAACATATTGTTAATACATTTTGTACATTGTATACAAGTTGTATGTCATAAAAAATGTAATCTCTGTATGTTTTACACAAACAAATAAATAAATAAACAAATAAATAAAGTATCATTTTAAGCTGTAAGCACCAGCACGCATAGATTTATGGATATCTATGCCGGCACGTCCCAGCCGGGTTCGTCACTTATTTGGTTCCCCTGGAAACATTTCCGTTGTGCTCTGTGTTATTTGCAGCGCGTTTATGTATTTGGTGGTGTTGTGAGTATTTGGAGCACACGTGTGTTGTGAAACTGATGAAGATGTTTTCTTAATTTGCAGGTGTTTTTTTAATTTGCACGCCTTTTTTTTATATTTGCATGCGTTTTTTTCTATTTGCATGCGTTTTATTTTATTTGCACGCATTGTTTTCTATTTGCATGTGTTTTCTTCTATTTGCATGCATTTTCTTCAGTTGCAGCGCGTTGAGCTCTCTCGGCCACCGTAAAATTGTCTGAACTTAGTGGAGCTTCCTTCTTGATAGCATTTTTTGAGGATAATAGTCTTCTTCTATGCGTTTGATTCAGTCCTAGTGAACTTTTATTACTTAAACAGCATTTTTGGACATTGGATAGATTCAAACAAATGATTCAATTTTGAATGCTCAATTCAAACGCTTCAAGCTTATTGAGCTGCCTGCAGTGTAAAGGTGTTTGTAATTTTTCCAAAAATGTAAAAACGCTACAGTAAAATCTGGTTAACTGTAAGTTAGCTTACCATATATTGTGGAAAAACTCTAAATGCTTTAACATTGCATTGTGTAATTCTACTGTAAAATACTGTCAGATTTATGTTTTTCCGCATGTAAGACTGTTATACTGTATGATTTATGGTGGAAAACAATAGTACACTCCCTGTGGCACATTATATTTTATATTAATCTTTTTTGTTTCTTATTTTTGTTATTAGTAATGTACATTAGGTTGTTCTGTTATGCAGTTCATGTTTATTGCAGTATTTTAGTGTCATGTGTTACCCTAGTGGTATTTTTATTTTCCTTGTTGTTTTTTACCCCTTTTTCACACTGTGTCTTTGTATGAACATTGACCATGTTTTATGAACAGTCCATTTACGATGAACTCTGATTCATCATGTGGCTTTCTATTTTCCCACATGTATTGTAATGGTGATTAGCAGTGCATTTTAAAGTAAAAAGCCAGTAAGAATCTAGGTGGGAAACTCTATTTCTCACTCTCAATTTATTATTGTGTTTCCATCTGACTTTCTTCCTCCATCACTCTTTCATCTTTTCAGCGGCATACTTTCTCTCTCTTTTTCACTCGTCACTGGATTAGTCAAAGGTCATTTTCCCAGCTGACTGATCTTGGCACGGCAGAGCGTTCACACCTCAGTGGTCCTGTTCAGTGCCAAAACCCAAACGTGTGCACAAGTGTCACACTAATGAAGATGGAACGTGGGCCTAATGCCATGAAGTAAATGTGTGTATACTTATGTGTGTGTATGTGTTTTCCCCCAACAGGCTTGTTAGAGAGAGCCGTCTCCTGCCTGCTATCTTTCAAGTCATAGAGGTAAGTGTGCTTCTGAGCTTTCTGGTTTCCTCTGTTTGCTTGATTTGGGAAGCAATGAAATTACCTGAAAATCAAAAGCTTTATGTAAATCTGAAAACACTATATTGGAGAAATTGGCCATGTTGCAGAAATGCATCAAAGTATTTTAGAAAGAAATAGTGGTAGTACTTGACCTGTCCTAGATAAACCTGTGCTATAACCTGTGTCAAAGTCCAATTGCAAAATATAAACTCACGATTGCAACTTTTTCTCACAATTCTGTTTATATTTGTTTATATCACAATTTCTGACTTTATTGCTTGCATTTCCGAGTTTATAACTCGCAATTCGGACTTTTTTTTCCATCCGATTTGTTAGATAAAAAGTCGCAAATACCTTTTTTATTTTCTATTCCGTGGAGGAAATAAGTTCCAAAAAACCCTACATAAACGTTGTACATATTTCTTATCATTTGTGTGCTGTAATCCAAGTCCTCTGAAACCATGATTTTTGTGAGAAATAGAAAGAGAATTAAATCGTTGTTCACTGAAAATTTTCACTGCATCCCCTTCACTGAAGCTCTCTTTTGCTCCATTCTATATTTTTGAACTGGCATCATGACACGTTAAGTTATGACATGCGTTAAAAAAAAGATGTTTTGCAGTCAGTGGTGTGAAACCAGACATGGCACATTGACGTGTCATTTAAGAATCTGAATGCTAATGAGATTACAGATATTCAATGGAGGGGAAAATTATCGGAAAATCACAAAATGAATGACTACGAGTTCCAAATTAAATGATTATCTGTTGATTAATTCCAAAATAAAAATGTTAATAAATCACCTTTTAAATGACGAGTCATTTTAGAATCTGAACGCTAATGAGATAACAGAGCTTTGATGGAGAGGAAAATGATCGGAAAGTTATGCCTTTATTTCTGTCTGTCACAAAATATACGACAAGGAGGTCCACTTAAAAATAAAACAAAGGTATCATTTATCACTGTATTCATTTCAAATTAAAAATGTTAATAAATTAAAATGTATCAAATGTATGTTTTCAAATTGAGAGATAAATAGACGTGTCTGAAACTAATTCACTTTTACAAATGTAATTAAATGTAACAATACAAATTAAAATAAAGGAATCTCTTTCCAAACTGACTAATAAAACTACTATTCAAAGTTTTGGGGGTCGGTTAGATATTTTATTGTATTTGAAAGAAGGCTCTTATGCTCACCCAGACTGCATTTTTTAAAATAAAAAACTACAGTAAAAACAGTAATATTTATTACAATTTAAAATAACTGTTTTATATTTTAATACTTATTTTAAATGACATTTAAGATACATTTCAAAATGTTATTTATCCCTGTGATGGCAAAGATGAATTTTCAGCAGCCATTTAGTCCTTTAACCTCTAGGGCCCTATTTTAACAATCTAAGCGCAATCTAAAGCACACGGCGCAAGTGCGCTTAGTGCACCGAATCCAGTTTTGCTAGTTAAACGACGGGAAAAATGTTCGGCGCGCCTGGTGCATGGTCTAAAACGGATTCGCTATTTACATTGCGGAATTTGCAAGCATAAAAACTGAACACTTCTCCAGAGAGGAAACGGATCTGCTCGTATGCGAGGTTAAAGCACGCAGGCAGACCATCTACGGGACAAGCCGGATTCCACCATATCTTTATGTACACAATAATAATCTTTCACATTGTAATCCTTTTTTTTTTTGGCATGTGGCAGTTTGTGTGCTGCTGTGCGTGTGTGTGTGTGTAATAAGCCGAGTGTACGCGCGTTGTGGACCACCCTATAGGCGCACATTACTAACGCGCTCTTTAAATAACAAAAAAAAGATTGCGCCATTGACTTTAGACCAGGTTTCAGTTGGTCAATTCTATTTCAATTGCCTCAAAATAGTAACGCGCCATCAATGCTCCTAAACACACCTCGTTTTCAGACCAGCATGGGCAAATGGGCGCAAATCCATTTGCTATTTAAACAACGTGGCACAGGACGTGAAAATGATAACTGCGTGTGGCTGAAACTAGCAAAAAACACTTGCGTCGTGCTTGGCGCTGCAGTGCGCCTGGTGTATGATAGGGCCCCTAGTCTTCAGCTTCACATGAACTTTCATAAATCATTCTAATATGCTGATTTGCTGCTCAAAAACATTTCTTCTTATCGATGTTGAAAACAGTCGCTTTATAATTTTGAGATTTTTTTTTTCATTATTCTAAATAGAAGTTGTTTGTTTTTGAACACTTGAATGCATCCTTGCAGAATATATTTCTTATGTTCTTAAAAACATATCAAATGTTTAATTAATTCATGTTTAAAATGTTAATTGTTACAATACAGTATTAATGGCATAGCATAACTTGTTAACGTATTTATAGGCATTTATATAAGGGCAAATTAGCTATATAAATGTGTGCGTTTGTGTAACAGTCAGACCTTTCCCTCTGAGCATGTTCCCATCCCAGTATCTATTGAGTTATTATGTAAATGAGCCAGTAGGGGTCTGACCTATCAGAGTGTAATGTGTAATTGGGTAGCAGAGTTAATGGAGTGTGGATGTGAGGCCTTTTCAACAGCAGGTTACATTCTCATTAGAGTGGACCCTACATCGACTGTTAACAGTCAACACCACCCCCACCCCTCGAAAACATACAAACACACACGCATACTTATTTCAAGTAGGCCACAGTGAACTGCAGTCTAACATATCGTCGCTCTCGGGCGGAAACCTCACATCTCCAAAACCGCTACTTTTCAGGAAATGGAAAATAAACACTGTATTTTTTAAATAATAAACACTGTGTTGTCAAAGGTGATATTGTGGTTTGGACCCCCCCCCCCCCTCCCAAAAAAATTAAACCACATAACTATTATGTTTACAAAAGAGCCGAGACACACAGAAACCGTATTACATGTTTTTTACTGAACTTCCTTCTTTTTTTCACATCCACGCATGCGCACACCATAAAACCTCGCACAGCTGATTCTATAACAACCAACACAGCTAGTTTACTTCATAATAGTAGCCCCCTTGTTATTCCCCTAACAGTGTGTAAATAAATGATTTTAGTTAATTATGTGATTGTGAACACAACATTTCCCCCTCCCTCCCAAGAACTGAACTTATGCAAAACTGAGTCCTTGCCAAAACAATTGAACAGTCCAATACCTAGTGCAAGGCCTACACTGTCACTCTGTGACAAAGTCCTTTAAAGGAACACTCCGACTTTTTGGGACTTTAGCCTATTCACCTTATCCCCCAGAGTTAGAAAAGTCCATACATACCTTTTTCATCTCCGTGCGTGCTATTAGTCTGTTTGACGCACCCACCGCTAGCCTAGCTTAGCACAAAGACTGGATGTAAATGGTTGCAGCTAGCATACTAATCCAAATAAGTGACAAAATAACGCAAACATGTTTCTATTTACATGTTGTGATTTGTATAGTCACAGAGTGTACAAAAAACAAAGTCACATGAGACACAGACATATTTTAACCGTATAAATACTGGGAACTATATTCTCTGAAGGCGACTATATTCTCTGAAGGCGAAACACTGCTACTTGGGCGGAGTGATAACCGCAGCACCTGAGACGCGCCGTGGTGAGGAGCAGAGAGCGCGTCTCAGGTGCTGCGGTTATCACTCCGCCCAAGTAGCAGTGCTTCGCCTTCAGAGAATATAGTTCCCAGTATTTATACGGTTAAAATATGTCTGTGTCTCATGTGACTTCGTTTTTTGTACACTCTGTGACTATACGAATCACAACATGTAAATAGCAAAATGTTTGCGCTATTTTGTCACTTATTTGGATTAGTATGCTAGCTGCAACCATTTACATCCAGTCTTTGTGCTAAGCTAGGCTAGCGGTGGGTGCGTCAGATAGAGTTACAGCACGCACGGAGATGAAAAAGGTATGTATGGACTTATCTAACTCTGGGGGATAAGGTGAATAGGCTAAAGTTTCAAAAAGTCGGAGTGTTCCTTTAAGTAAGCAGGGCGGACCCTGGCCCTTACGGGTCGGCCCTCCGCAACCTCAGGCTGCGGCCATTCCAGAACCGCTGGGCAGTTCCCCATAGCTGGACTTGTGGCACAGCCCGGCCCTGGATCTGACTGACGGCCAGGGGAAAGCAGGTGAGATTGCAGGTCAGGGGCAGGTTGCTGGGGCGCTGGTGACGGTACGGCCTGAGGAGTATGGGAAGCCTGCTGTGGCCCTGTACATATCGGCACCGGTGGAGGAGGGGCCGATGGCAGTGGAGCCACCATTTCCTCACCTGGGTTCCGCACTTTCCTCAGTCTTTTAGCATGCCATCGTGATCCGTCACTAAGCATGAATGTGGCTGGGCCCAGCTGGCGGTGCACCTGAAAGGGCTGGCTCCAGTATGAAGCCATCTTGTTGCCCCGATGTGGCCTACGTGCTCGAACCCAGTCACCTGCGGTAATAGCCGTGGCCTTGACCCTGTGTTTCCGATCAAAATACTGCTGCATCCGTTGCTGGTGTCGGTTTACAGCGGCTTTGGTCCGAGCCCGAGAGCTGCCGGCTGTAGGCACTGCCATGCCTTGTGCTTTAAGTCTGTCCAGTGGCAGTTCCATCTCCCGGCCCAGCATGAGGAGTGCTGGAGAGGCCCCGGTTGTAGCGTGTTGGCTGGCCCTGTAGTGCATTAAGGTTTGGTTGAGTGCTGTCCGGAATGTACACCCCTGAGACAGGTGGGCCCGGACGCCATTCTTTAGGCTCTGGTTGAACCGCTCCACACCGCCATTTGCTTGTGGATTGTAGTATGCTGTGCGGATGTGTTTGATTCCCCTATCACTGAGGAACTGAGAAAAGTCTGCAGAGATGAACTGGGGTCCATTATTATTATTATTTATTATTTACCTTTATTTAACCAGGTGAGCACATTGAGAACATTTTCTCATTTACAATGGCGACCTGGCCAAAAAAGCGTTGAGGAACAAAAACATAAGTTACACATATAATTACAAGACAGAGTAGTACTCA